CATAATATAGTTATGTGCTACGTCGTCGTTGTTTACAATTTTATGTAGAAGTATCTATTTAAATATTTATTGTGTCTGTTTATTTGTTTGTTAACCTTCCAAACCTAAATAGCTGTATCAACTTAACCACATTTTTACAACTCAAGTAACTAAGTCGACTGTAAACCTCACTAGCGCCACCTACTGAACGCAAAAATAAAACTTTTTTCTTGCTTAAAGTCATTAACTAAAATGAAGATAATAATTCATATATTATGTCTTCTTTAGAGATAATAGAAAGAGACAGACAATAGCAGACTAGCTTTGTCTCTTTCTGATGACATTTTGCGTCTTGTTTAATATAATTTTCAATATGCACGTGTGTTAACTGAACAAGCAAGAATTTTCTTCGCGAATTTGAACTCTATCACCATACACATATGTGCGTATTTATTAATCAATTGTGATGTTAATAGGGGGGACTTGAAACACGATACTACCGTTTCAGTAAGAATATAATGTCAATAACATTATCATTGAAATAAATATTTAATTATTGACACTCAATTAATTTTTCAAGACAGTTAAACAGGTGTTTTATTGACCTTGGGATCTGTTTTACACTTTTTTGAAGTAAATAATATAGAATTATATTGGAAAGTTCCTACACGAGTGCAAACTGGTTCATAAAAGAATTTCAGAATTAAACATTAACAAATATTTAATCAGAGTTGATAGTTTCGACAATGATGACCATAAAAAACTGTTACTAAGTCAGAGATTCCATGAATTGATTTTCAACTTTATTACAGCGACATAAGGTTGAGATTCAATTGATTGATGTTCCATTTTGAAACAGGAAAAAGAAAAAAATGTCTCCTCAAGAAATTGGTTAGTTTAAAAATGCTTTGTAATGGAGGATACCTGACTGTATGTAGGAATTATACATGTACCTAATGCAAAACCGGCAATTAAATTATGCTATAATTAAAATTGTAATAAAAGTGAACAAACCTGTGGTATATAGCTATGCTATGGATAGCAGGCCACTTGTCCCTCGCTTCATCGCAGATAGACTTCATAGCCTTTAGCGCCATGGGCTCGTACGCTTCGTACTCCAACCTTAGTACCTGCACCAAACAAAAAAAATTATGTTATGCAAAATTTATCCACCAGTTTGGCCACCCCCGGCTACCGTAAGTGCTGGACCAGAACCAAACCCGTGCGTACAGAGCGCGCTTTAAACAGCTATCAGACCACCATAGATGGGGTTCAGTAGGGCTGATGCCCGATACTACGGCTCGAAGATCAGGAGTAGGAACGGGGTGATTTTTAGTCAGTAAGAGTCTGACACTCCCTCCGCCTAACCCAAAGTGGGACTTCTCCCTGAAATGAAATCTCATAGGATGGTGTAATGACTTCTCAAAAACAGTGTTTCCACCAGGGTCAAGACATTTCATTTAATAGGGCTCCTAATAGACTATCCTCTAACTAAGGATCGTAGTAAATGAACGATTAGGCATAGGTATGATGTGTCGTCAAAATGAACTAAAATATTATGTTAACTACGTCCAATAACTGTACAATAAATAAATAGTCACCTTCCTAACTATATTAAAATAGTGAAAAAAATAACATAGGAGCTAACTAAGAAAATTATAGTGTAAGGAGTACAATAAATACAACTTCTACAAGGCTATTATCAGAGAAACAGTCGTTCTAGCTAACAATTATTTATGTCGTGAGCCACGTTATAGAAGGATATTGTAATAATATTAAATGGCATTAAAATAAGCCAGCAAGTAATACCTAGAAATACATTTTTATTAGGTCGACCCGCAACACATCATGTAGGTAACAAAATCTAAGGATCTGAATTAGGCACACTTCTTTTCCTTGTATCATCATGAAACTTGGCAAGTACACGTTGATTAGATGACAATACAATATTATGGTGCAATCGGACTGATCTGATGATGGAATTGAGGTGGCTGATGGAAACTTGGACTGCTTGCTACTAAATTAGTAAACATATCATCAAGTTTCGGTTCATTGGATATGTTCAGTCCCCTGATGATGAGGGCATATAATGATCAGATATTATTTTGTAACGGAGCCGCGGAAGGCCTAACGGGTTGCCAGGGCTCCGGCTCGAAGTGCAGGAGTAAGAACGGGGTGGATTTTAGTCAGTAAGAGTCTGACACTCCCTCTCGCCTAACCCAAGGCGGGAAAAGCCATTGGAGATTTTCCCCTTCAAAAAAAGGCTATTCTGTAAGATGTCAAATCGAACTCTCGAAGTGAGCTCGATCACAATCTAGCCTGTCATTCGTCTGTCGTTCTCACAACCAATGACATGGCAGACCGCTATCGAGCTCACTTCGAGAGATTGAATTGACATCTTGCAGAATTGCTTAGTAGGAGCCTGTTTTTAGTTTTCGGAACATCGCTCGCGTCACAAAAGGATAGAAAATAGCCTATGTGACTATCCATCCCTTCAAATAGCTTCCCGCTCGCGTCGAATTCGGTTATATCGCGCTTTTTAGATGTTTCCGTGGGAATAAGAAGGTCTGCCGCGGTACAGCCTTGCTTTTCCAGGACTTTTTAGGCGTGAAAGAACAACATACAGAAGGAGTTATTTTCGCATTACCACAAATAACATCTTCCCATTTCAATTTAAAAGACTTCACCTAACTAATTTACAGCAAATGTATCAATCAACCTAAACAATGAACAAAGCGACTAAAACGACGAAAAAACAATAACTACTTTAGATAATAATATCTACCTAGAAAAAAACACTTGACTAATCAAAACTATTATTGAGCGAGCGAAAACAAAATCAATCACAGTGCTAGATGCTTACACCAAAATACAATTGTTTCGGAAGCTCGGAACCTTTCGCCGGCAACGAAACCATAGCGCCATCTAACTCGATCCTAACGCCATCTATAGAGCGTTGAATCAACAGCATACAATTTATTTGTTAATTGTTGAGTATTGTTGACGCTATGATTTCGTGTACAACTTAAAATCTATAAAATACACAATTTAATGTAAAATGGTAGGAATAAATAAAAAAAAAATACTTAAAAAAAACAACGTTACCACATTTTGAAAATGTGCACCGAATAAGTGTAGGTAGCGCTATAGATTAAAGCGTGAGATTTCCAATTAGTAGGTAATTCGTTGACTTGTTTATATCAATACTTTTGTTTTCCCTCAGGAATATAAATTTTTTCCGGGACAAAAAGTACCCTATTATTTAATACGGACATCTAACTTTACTATTTCAAAGCAATCGGTTTAGTAGTTACGGCGTGAAAGCGGAACAAATAAACAAACAAACCCACTTTCCGATTTATAATATTAGTAAGGATAGTAAGGATGGGCCTAGAAACCTACCTATTCAGGGTGAATTAGCGTCATGTGAAGTGAGGTTTAGTGCATTGTCACCTATAAAGTCCTTATCAGTTGTACAAATACTCCACGTCACCATGTTAATTTAGTTCCAAAACTACCAAACTGGTTCCTCATGTTTAGGTAATAAAAACCGTTTGTTTTTCACTTTTTGTTTCGTAATTTAATGATCTTGATCTGTTTCGTACTAATTAATTACACTTTCAGTTTTTCTATAAGAGACAAAGACATAACCGACTTAGTTTTGTGGCATAATAGATAGTGTGGGAGAGCCATGCTTCGGCACGAATGGGCCGGCTCAGCCGGAGTGATACCACGGCCTCACAGAAAACCGACGTGAAACGTTCGTTGCGTTGTGTTTCGTTGTGTGAGTGAGGTTTTTTTTTTTTTTTTTTTTAAGGGGGGAAAATCATCGAATGACTGCCCCCGCCTGGGTGAGGCGGGAGGGAGTGTCAGACTCTTACTGACTAAAAACCACCCCGTTCCTTCTCCTGCACGTCGAGCCGGAGCCCCGGTTACCCGTTAGGTTCTCCGCGACTCCGAATCGGCATCGGCCCTATTGGGCCCCATCTGTGGTGGTCTGATGGCTCTTTGAGGCGCGCGCGGAACGCGACGCGCCGTACGCTCGGGTGTGTGAGTGAGGTTACCGGTGGCCCAATTGCAATTCCCTGAATCCCCAACAAATCCTCAAATTCCTAATCCCCAAAAAGCCGATAACGCACTTGTAACGCCTCTGGGGTTCCAGGTGTTCATTGGCAATATAAAAATTGTACCTACTAGTACTATTATAATTTAATTATCCCAAATCGGCAAGAGCGCGATTTTATGGTCCATCCATCTGGTACCATTTTTTCAGACTCGTCTGATCTAGAAGAATCAAGTATGAACTATGGAGTTCTGACGTCATGGTATATTACAAACAATGACAAGTCAATTCTTATCACTTAGATAGTATTTCTTATTTATAGTAATCACAAAAATTTCCTAATAGATAAGTTTGGTCACACGGTCCGTTTATTTATTCTATTTCGGGATTCTGATTTAATCTGTTAGTTTATCATTTTGATGTTTAATATGATAAATTATCAAAAATATTAAGATATCAATACTTAGCAACAAGAAGACCTTTGAGCTTGTAGTGTTTTTTTTTTCAATTTTGTAAATCAAAGGGTGTGTTTACCTAGACAGAGATTCGAAACCACCCATATAATTTAAAAAATATGGGTAATAATCTGTTGGTATTTATTTGGTTGGTGTTGGCAAAATTCACTCATACTAATAATAAATTTTACGGTTGCTACATAATTTGGGATAAGGGCGGTAAGAACGAGAACAATAAAAAACCAAAATAAATTTGCTTACCTTTTTCCCTTCAAAATTATCCCTAGTGGTTCCAATAAATACAGATACTGCCCCGCATCTGTCATCCGTAACCAGCTCTGTGATTTCATCCACGGACAGTTTATCCGGAGTTAATTTTAAATGATCCATTTTTTCACACACTAAAAGTTCTTTTTATTCGAATAAAAAGTTGCACTAATATGCTAATTTGTATCAGTCTATCAAGGACTCGGGAGATGGAAGTATATTGAAGTTTTTTTCTAGAAACTTCTTTCATTAGCCACCACTGATTGGAGGGATAACCGCAATACTGTCACGTTCCCTGATTTCTATATCAATATCTTCGTCACAAACTTCTTCGTTCTTCGCCAACAATATATTGTTTTTAATAGCTTGTAAATTGTAACTCTCCACTATTATATTCAGTAGTTTACTGTAGCTAATCTTGTTGGGAAGACGTATTGTAGACTCCTTGGTACCAGCTAACTCTTTAGATTGTGCGAAAAACAGTAACTTCACATTGACATCATGGGCTATTTCCATATTTTAATCTGAAAATAAAAAAAAGAAAATTATACACGCTTTTGAAAATAAAAGTATATATTTTTCTAAAATGAATGTAATTAGCAAGTGCTTCTGTTTTTAAAATATCGGGCATTCAGCTAAAATATTGTATGAATTAGTGCCAGGTTGGTAACGTAGTAGCAAAAAAAAGTTAAGAGAAAAAAAAATGTAGATGTAGGGTATTATTAAATTATTACAATGATTAAGTACAGAAACAATGGAAATGAATAATTAACTTGAACAATAACCAATTAATTGTGTTTTTCAAGCAATCAAGTTATTGTTTCATATTATTTATTGGTCAAACAATGTTGTTTTAGTAGAGCTATTAGTCAATAATTTATTTATTACTATTAGACAAAAGTGTTCAGTTGCAGTTCTTTAGCTAGTATTATTTTTATTTGATTGAATTATCTGTTTTATAATACAAGTAATAAAAAAATGTATTGTTATTTGCATAATTATTATTTTTAAATAGTTAATAGTAAGTTTATTTATGAATAAAAAATTAATGAAGATGAAGTTATATTAAAAATTTAAACTAAAAGAAAGTATCGTTAATACAAAATAACAAGAATTCAGAGCATGACCGTAAACTTTCATTACTCCTTTCGCTGACCCTTGTCACTCATAAACCGGTTATTATAAAAAAAAAACAAAACTCAACCGAATAAAAAAAAAACACATACTCGTATCTATTAGCGCGAAGGCCAACAGCTCGTCTCCTTTATTTTTAAATTTAGAACTGCATAATAAGAACTGGTCAACCAAAGTACATATTCCGCTATTTATAATTATACTAATTTATCACGTTACATACGTGTGTCGCTGAACACACTCGCACATGTACTACGAGTACTTTTAATATAAATTGTAGACGGCGATACCGCGACTATATCGCAACTGGTTTTCTCGTCTGCAACTTCAGTGAACCTTGACGAAGTATTTTTGATTATACTGATAAAAACTATGCATTAAACTTCAAGTCATTGTACTAACACTTGATATTTGATGTACTTCACGTGAATGATGTAACCGAAATGAAATTTGTTATTAAAGCTAATCAACATGAATATACGCTGAGGTTAGGAATTAACCTTGACTTTGTATGTTATTTTTTGTATTGAAATGACGCGTTCAATGTATAAAATATACTCACAAAAACATTATAACTTTTATATACCTAAATTAACACTCAATTTTAATATTCGGTATAAAGTAAGCAAAATCTTTATTTGTTTTCTTACAAATAAAAAAACAAAAACTGAAATCACCTGATATTTGACAGAACACAGAATAGTTTTCGGAGGTAGTAACAAAACCATCTTGGTAAGTTTTCGTATGTCATTACAATTTTTATTTTTGATAACTCACATAATTTTTTAAGATATATTTATATCTAATTAAAATGTAGTAAATATAATTATTTGTAAATATTTTTATTATATGTAACTTGCTTTATTAATGCTAAACTGCAGCGCACTAAAGACGTTTACACACAACCGGAGGTTTTTACTGTGTAGGTGATGAGCATAAAATAGCAGTTATTTTAGAAAACGTTAGTAAACGTTATGGTTATTTGCTGTTGTTTGGAATAACTTTTGAAAGAGCGATCTAAGAATACAAATAAAAAATTGTTCAATGTTACTACTCTTTGCCAAAATTATGAATGCAACAAAGAAGTAACAGCTTTGCAATCGCGTTCTTTTGCCAACTGCGCAAATAAATATTTTAATTCAATATTTACTTGGTACCAATTTATAGAAACAAGACTTCTTAAAATG